TATACCTAACTCCAATATTTGATTTAAAAGTACATCATGCCCGGGCTTTGAAATGCTCTATTGTATATGAATCGATGCAGAATTGTCTGCTCTAAAAAATGAAGCTAGATTTATTTTGGGACTGCCATATGCGTAGTCTTTTCTTTAAAAATACTCCAAAAACTGCATATTTGAAAATATGAAATGTTTTACTTTTCTATTATTTAGTTCTAGATAACTAAACATATTACTATGTCTAAATACATGACCTTATAGAGTAAACATCGGTCTTTCAAATGAGCCATGAACCAGTCATAGGAGTTTCACAGTTTTTGAGAAATAGTTTGTCAAAGCTAAGAACATGAGAGCGAAGAAACACATGAAAGAAATCTTTGTAAAACAGAAAAAATGGTGAAGGTTACATCAAACGAAGGAACAGCCATGATTACGCCGTAGCCGTAGGTAGTCATGTGAAGAAAAGTTTGAATTAGAACAGTAACTTTATGTTTGCTTGTTTCCAAGATGTCTAAAGTACCTTTAGTTTCCATTATATCTAAGCAACTATTACTATACTAATGTGGCCTATGTAGCAGATTGATTTACTTTGTTTTCATGCAAAAATGCTTTCCTCACTGTGCAAATAAAGTAGATAGAAAGTTGCAGCCCTAATTCGAATGTATCATTATAAGGTTTATGGTACTTTGTCCTAACAGTTTCTCAGCAGAGCGCTCGCCGATATCTCTGATGAGAAAAATATAAACTATCGTATTTGCAATCTTCGGCCGAACACGTTCGATCGCAGCTTGGTCAAAGCACATGCTGACTCAAGCAAACTTTCAAAAAACCCCCAGAACAGCTGATAAGTCACAATCGAAGACGAAAAATGTGAATTTCAGCTGAGCATGGTCTCAAGGCTTTTCAGAAACCTTCGGGAAAACCTCAAAGCCTCAGTGTCCGAACAACGATAGCTGGAGAGCTGCGACTTGCATAATTTTGTAGAGTACCATCCGAACTACCTACGCATACAAAACAATTACTACCGTTGTATGTTAATTTTCTGAAAACGGAGCCGGTTTTCCAAAGGTCCTGGAAATCTGGCTTTAGAAATGTTTCCAAAATTTGTATTTGCTTACGAAAATATGCGTTTAGGTGTCCTCTTTTGAATGCTGAAAACCGTAAGTCTCTACCTATCTTCCATCAAACGTTATTCAAAAAATGACCGGGGCTCTTGTATTTTGGAACGGATAGTAGTAACGAGATCGGTGACAATTTCAGAAGCTTGTGAACTGCAGAGAAGGTACCGGGCTATTGAAACTGGCTTTTGGCAGCGCTTTCACCAGTAACGGTAGCCGCAAGGCGAGATATTCTTCCTTCTTCTTCCTATATCAGCTGTAAGTCTCCTTCTTGAAAGAAAGAAAAGTATTTTACTATTTAACAAAGTAATATACGACTGTTCTTATGATTTATACCAAATTTATCTACTACTTGTTTAGAATTAATCTTTACATCACGTTAGGTGGTAAGCACGAAAAAAGGAAGAGCACGGGTCGTATACGCGACACATTTAGTCTTCTAAAAAGAGACCGACTATAAAAGCACTAACAATAATAGTTTTTGTTTCGTTTACTTCAAAGATTGTTTGATCAGTACCGATAACTTATTTGTCATTGTTGATGGTAATATGGAAAAAGGAATCGATCGAAAACCGACAGAAGAAGTTAATAAAAAACAAGTGACAAGTAAAAATGATTACTGTTAGAAAGCGTTATCCTGCTAGAGTAACTCAGCATCTTATTTATTGCCATTATTGTGTTAACGTACGTTGATGCGATCGTTGTGTGATTGTATTAAGCGGATATATGCTGGATATTGTTGGTCTACCTCTTGCTGTATTATATAAAATTGTTAAATGTTTTATACAGAATTGTTTCAATTCTCTAGATGTTAATATGAAAATAAGCGATGAAAATGCATAAGTATTATTCACAACAAACATTGTACACTCGTCAATAAAAACACTATATTGTATGTTAAATATGTGTTCAATAAAATAATATAGTACCCATGGTGAAAATGCTGATAAAAACCATATTAAATGTAAATTTAACTGCCATAGCATCCGTTTTTCTTGTCTGAGTGACGAACCATGGGAATTGTATAGTTTTTTCCATATAAATACACCTATAACCGTTGGATAACAAACTAAACTATAACTAAGTATGGTGCAAACTCAATAATCAAATTAATATTTGCTAGTGTGTTACTTTGATGCTCCAAATCGCACCTTTCACGTTCTTTACCAGTTATTGTTGCATGTGACGTCCATAAAACACTTGCATAAAAACAAGAAGGCAATAATAAACCACATGTGATTGTCATGTAATGTAAATAGATCGGTAATATATGTCCTCGACGAAATACGAATGGTTTTAAAATAAGAAATATACGTTCAACCGATATTTGTGCTGTTAAATATTGACTCATTGAAGATGGTGCATAATCAGCATAAATATATACATAACAAAGAGCACTACCCGGTCGTGGATTACATCCATTATGTTTAAAAAAATACAGACGCAACGGTGCATGTAATAATGTTGTTATAGAAGCAATAGAATAGTTCAAAAAAAGGCAATGGTTATTAATTTGTATTGCTGTATTATATCGACATATTACAACAAATAAATAAATTAAACTTATTGCGATACCAGGTATAAGTGTAACACAACTTGTTATAAAAAATATTTTATATAATGGTGGAAGGTAGAAACCAAGTTCATCATACTCAGAACATGATGATGAATTGTTATTAGCCATTATTTAATTAATCAGTTGTAAACAAATGAAAAATATGTCACTCATACACATCTTTTTTCACGCACAAGTTGACTCTTAGTATAACTTTGGCTACTAGTTACTCTATGAATAAGAAAATTGCATGATACTTTTGCTTTACAAAGAGAAGGAAATTGAGTCAGCGACATGTACGTAAAAGCTGTTACCGACAAACTTTAAGAGTGATTTAACAGACGACCGATTATCAGAGAACTGTGCTCAAATGATCATCTCAGAGTTTCTGCTCGATCAATTGCTTTTCCACAGGCAAGATTTTAACGAACTGGCAAAAAACCGCATGGTAAAAAGTTGAACCTTTGCTGCTATTAGGCATGCAACAATCCCAAACTAGGAATCTCTGATCGGCATCGAACGGTTTGTTACCGAACATGTTCGCTGCCGATCAGCGAGGCCTAGCTTAGGATGGTTGCATGCCTGATCTGGGCTAAAGGCAAATTGAATGAAACTGAAGCTTTCGAAGGAAGTAACCAGCGAGAAAATAGATTAATTAAAGCCCAATATGAGCGAATGTCTCTTCTACCGGATCGCTATCGAACGTGTTCGGACAAAGATTGTAAATACGATAATTTATATTTTTCTCATCAGAGACATCGACGAGCGCTCTGCTGACAAACTATTAGGACAAAGTACCATAAATCTTATATAGAGACATTCAAATTAGAGCTGCGACTGTCTGTCTACTTTTTTCTGCACAGTGAGAAAAACCATTTTTGCATGAAAACAAAGTAACTCAATCTGCTATACAGAGGCCACGTTAGTAAGTAATTAGAGAGTAAGTCAGATATAATGGAAACTAAAGATACTTTCGACTTCCTGGAATAAAGTAAACATAAATTTGCTGCTCTGATTCAAACTTTTCTTTACATGACTACCTACGGCTACGGCGTAATCAAGGCTGCTCCTCCGTTTGGTGTAATCTTCATCATTTTTTCTGTTTTACAAAGATTTCTTTCATGTGTTTCTTCGTTCTCATGTTCTTAGCTTTGACAAACTATTTTTTTTATTCAGTAGAAGACACATTCACTCACATTGTACTTTAGTCTATTTTCTCACTGGTTAGTTCCTTCAAAAGCTCCAATTTCTTTCAATTTGCCTTAGTCCAGATCAGGCATGCAACCATCCCAAGCTAGGGCCCGCTGATCGGCAGCGAACCGTTCGGTGACAAACCGTTTGGTGACCGAACATGTTCGGTAACAAACCGTTCGGTGCCGATAAGCGATTCCTAGTTTGGGATTGTTGCATGCCTAATAAAGATCGTCACGATGATAAAGATCATCACGAGCAAGAGCAAGACGACGAACAACACGACGACGATCACGACGACTATGAAGATAAGCAGTAATAGCATCATCTGCATCATCAAGACGATCAAGGTTAAAACGAGGACTATTAAGAAAAAAAGTATTAGCATCAGCAGCATAAACACGAAGATTAAGACGAAGATCACCATCAGCACGAGGAGCACGAAGACGACGATAAGCAGCACGAGAAGCAAGACGAAGGCGACGAAGATCAGCAGCAAGAGTATCATCATCACGATCAAGAGAAACATGAAGAGTAACAAGACTACGATCAGCATAATAAAGACGAAGATCAGCATAAAGATCATCATCAACATCATCACGAGTAGGATGGTCGCGAACTTGTTTGAATGAAAGATCGAAACTGGAAAGTGATCAAGTCGTATAACTATTGTATATATGAAATTGGATTATCGAAGTATATGACTGTTATTGTTCGTAAGATATCATCTTTTGTTGTAGAGGAGTGGTCTATCTAAATATTGATTTTGCGTTGAATCTGTCCTCTCAGGTAGGTGTTCTACGTTGTAGAAAGCGATAATGGTGAGCTCACTTTTGTGGAAGAGTTTCCGAAGAGAGGTAGATAGCATGTCGCTGAAAGTTTTTTAGGAAAAGCACACAATAAGGGATGTGTGACGGTGGAAGGAAAAGTTCAAAACATCTGCTAGGGTGGAAAATGGTGTGGTTCTCGTAGACTGACATTTAAGTGGGAACTTGTATTAGCATGGCATCATTGGAGAAATTATTTGTAAGCACGGTTGATGTTTCACTTTGTGTTTGAGTTATGTTCGTCGTCTGTAAATATAGGTATTTTCTTATGGATTAGGTCTTTTTTAACTGGTATGCAGCATTTCCGGCTATAGTTAGTATGCATAGAACGCGAATCAGTAGATACCGTGTGAGTCAAAATGATTGCAACATATCGTATTTCACATGTATCACAACTTAAGAAAATGATAAAATTTTGAATTTTTCTTCAAAAGATGCGCCGTGAAAAGCTCTATACAAATTTCCTAAAGAGTTCCTACCCATGTGTTCGATTGCGCTTACGTTGTGCCACACTTGCGCGCAACTGCGCCGCAATTAATCGACTGCGCGCAATTACGTCACTGCGATCGCAGTTGTGACTCAAAGTGCGTTTTCAGTGCGATCACAATTGCGGCGCAATTTTCTAATGATAGAAAATAGGACTTGGCCGATAACAACAAGCACCTATATCTCAACTTTTTGAACCGGATGGTTCCCCGTTCGATCCTCTTTATGAAAGTTCTAGAACTGAGCTTTCCAAAGTAACCATTTTATGCTTGATTTTTAAATTTTCATCAGTTTCAAAAAAAATTTCGCAGTGCGCCGAAATTAATCGACTGCGCGCAATTATGTTACTGCGATCGCAATTGTGACTCAAAGTGCGTTTTTAAAGCGGCCGCAATCAAAGCGCAGTCGAACACATGGATACTAACTTCCTCTAAATATTTTATCCGAACTCGAAATACTGCATGCTAGCATCCCTTCTAATCATATAGGGTATATGAAAAATGTTAGAAAGACTTTCTTGTTTTGCATATATCTCGGCTCAAGAAACGATAAAACCTTGAATTTTTTTAAAAAGATGCGTCATCGAAAGCTTTACAAAAAATGTATAAAGAAATCCCTATTGCAAAATAAAAAAGTTGTCCAAAAATTTTTATTCTTCGGGACATCGCTGTATCATAGAGGTTGTTCATTTTGAGTATGGATAATACGATATGTTGAAATCATTTTGACTCACCCGGTATTAGTAGAAGAAGGTTAAATGTGTATCCAGTTGGCCAACTGGTCGGAACGAGGACTAGTGTATATGTGCTCGGGAACAGTGGTTATATATATTAGCTAAATCTGCGGTACCCACGCGATTTTCTCTGTTGTGATTGTCACAGGGACTCTTTTTACTGCCGCATTAAAAGGATTTTGCTGGTACTTTTATTGTGATCATGTTCCTGGATGAGCAGATAAAGAAATAATTGGAAAGTAGTGTTCACTATGCGTTTATGATGTGTTGTATTTGTAGAGATAACTGTATATCGACTTCAGACGTCATTGGGAAGTGAAAAATACGTATCTAAGTATACCCTATGACAGCCATTGCTTAGTCCTATATTATTCGTCATGTTATATCTTATCATGCCTGTTTCTACCAGAGAGTTTTGTAACCTCTTACCCTTGTCCTCTATTTCATATTGTGTTTTGTGTCTTTGTAGGCGATTTTCATTTATACCTGATCTCTTTAATTCTATAATTTGATTAATCTTCTTGTACATTGATTGTATCCTCATCATAAGTGTAATGTCATGTGTGGCTTGTATAATAGAGACGGGTTATCCCACTGATAGCATCTGGTGGAACATTGAAAAATGTTTGTGTAAAGCTTTTCCCGTTTTTGTTAGTAGGAACTTCTAATCTTTTGGATACATGTTGTATCCAATATTTTGTGATCAATTGAATATCTATTCTGTTTGGGATGTTCAAGAAATTATCAAGCCAAAACGACTAGTTATCAACTCTTCTAATAGGAAACGCTGATTCTAAAACCCCGCTGGAAACCGGAGTTAACGACACATTAAAACTATCGACCACAATAACTATACTTTTTTCTTAAAACTATAGTGAAAAATCTAGATTTTGACACCTCACTTTTTTTATTATATCTAGGTACATTAGACAGCATGGGAACTTTCTTTGTGAAGGGTTATCGTTATTTATGTTCTCTTTAGTTAATCATGAGAATACATGAATTAATGAAGGGTTCCATAAGATACTTTATGCTATCGTCTGATTCAAGTATAGGATAGGTAAGACTTCTCACTTTGGTGTGATATAATTTGGTACAGTTGAATCCCGCGCATTAAACTGATTCTGATACAGTGTATACTACAAGTTCGGTTGTTAGGAAGACATGTGGTGGTGTAGAAGAAAAACAAGGTGAAAGACAAACGTGAGCGAAAGATATAAATGACGGTCAAAATATTCACTGAAAGGTTATGTTATCTTACTATTGCGTCTGTGTTGAACAGTTAAGTAGATCAAGTGTTGTTTTCCGTTTTTGTCAAACTCCACTCGGTCGATCGTAAAGGAGGCACCAAGCAGGAAATAAAAGCTCTTTTTCTTCATCAGGATATTTAGACAGTGGACTAAGATCAGCAGTAAAAGCGATCTTAGTTTTTATGATAAACAAGACATTGCCGTAGCCGTACATCTCAGCTACACTGCGATTTCGAGTACATGAAGTGAATGCTTGAAAGGAGTGCGATGGTGTTGGATCTTTCGAACACTCCTTTTTGAATGAGGTAGTTAAATAAGTGACATTTGTTGACGCTAACAAAGAGGATACGCTGATAGTAGTCAGCTTGTGTCTTTCCTCCTCTTCGTCAGATATAGGCACACCCTGTATAAGTCAAGTCTCAGAAAGTCCTGTGTCGTCGTGCTGGAGTTCCAATACAACTTTACTTCAACCCCAAACGAGATTCGATTCTCAAAAAATGTCTATGGTGTTTTAGGTTTCTACTAGCGACTTCCTCTTGTTCGAATTCTTTGTTCTTGTCTTCTCATTTTCATCTTTATTGTTCATCAAAATGGTTTCCTATTAATTCTTCTTCCCTTCCCTACTGCTTCATTTAAACAACGTAGCATTGCAATTGACTAATGCCAATCGAGAAAGAGAGCATTTTGGCATAGTCAATCGATGCGATCGCATCAAAACTCCGCTTTGAGAAAAAGTACGTTCAACAGCTACGGACGCGGCCGGTACGCACAACACTTGTTCGACGATCTGAGACAGTTTTTGATGGAACTCGCTCTTTTGGAAGAAAGCTTGGGGTTTCATGAGTTATCTTTACGATAAATAATTATTTCTTCGTTCACCATTAGAAAATTATCAACTTTTCTCGCGGGTCGATGATCAAGCTGAGAATTCATGGACAGACTACTGGATCGATTTGAAATCCGACAGCGCCAAGTGAACCATTTCCAAATCCTTAGGTAGAAAAAAACCCTTTTCGCTGTATATTGTCGTCAGTTACACCTTCTCCTATATAAACACTTGGAAAATGGCTTATTTTGCGCTGTCGGATTGCAAATCGATCCGGTAGTCTGTCCGCAAAATTTCACCTTGATCATCGACCTGCGAGAAAAATTGATAATTTTCTAATGTTCAATATCGAAACGGACGGTGAAAAGGTCAGCGAGAAGACAAAGAGAACGGTTAAGAGAAGAAACAAGTTAGGACCGACAGAAAGGAACATCGAGTCGGACTAGGAAAATAAGCCTAAGCCCTAGTAAGTCCAAGTCCAGCGGGGACTAAGTCTAAGTCAAGTCCAAGTCCGGTAAATTTTAGTCAACGGGAGTTAAGTTGTATCATATGTTCTACTTCCAAATGTACAAGGTGGTCCAAAAAACACTTCCCTCTTTTTGAAACATTGCTTCTACATCTATATTATTTAGTTTTTTATCCAATTCTCTTGTGAAACACGATCTATAAGGAGTGCTGAAGTGTATAGGGGTAAAAACTTAGACCCACTCCACGCCCCCTCACAGACGTGACAAGCATTTCTATCCAAGCGTCACAGACGTAACAGACACTTCTATGAAGTATTGATAACGTTGACGCAGTAGAAAAAAGTAATAAGTGGTCAGACCAATGCATACGAGAAGCAATATTATTGATAAAGATAACATTTTATTTACTTGATGTTAGAAAAGAAAAAGTGCGTGTC